AAAGACGTAGGTTAGATCGCAGGTCAGATAGTTGCTATCATAGCCAGGCTTAAATTAAAGGTCCTTGGATACCTTACCCAGGTCAGGGTTGTCTGTCACTATGACATTATAGACCTATATATCTACTGTTACTATAGCTGTCATCTAAACATCAACAAGGTCAACCATCAAAAATTTAATATGTGGAGGGCTATGTTTATTGTTGGAGACAAACATGAAATGTGGTCTGACAGGATTATTACCGGTACCATATCAGGTGATATATACAGTCAGCCTGACAAATCGGACACCTGAATATTCCAACATATTGTCTTATCTACAAAACACTGATGTTGTCTGGTGTACTATTGTGACTCGGTATACTTAAACATTTCACAAAATTAACAGGTATGAGAAAGTAATAAGGAAATACATTTCATGTATGCTGCTAATTCACCTTTACTTCAAATCATGGAGCAACATTGTCAATTCATGATCATATGTGAACAATAAAACTGATTTGCTGCCATTTTTTGGAAAACACCACTCAAGATGGGTTACAATGAGGTAAAAATGTTTGCAAACATGACATGATGAACCACAATTCTTTCACATTTGCCACTATTCTTTTCCTTCCTTCCTTCATATTACAAACTAGTGCCAATGACCTTCTCAATTCAAGGTAGTGGAGAACCCCAGGCGGGGAGCAAAAGAACCTGAGTTGTGATTTTCATGTCTTCAAGGGTGAAGACTTGGAAAAAGGGGGAAGAAGTGTAAAGGATGTGCATTGTACATAATGACAAAGTCACCTTATTAGCCTGGGCAAGAGGCAATTTCCCTTTACCTCAGCAGCAGAGCGTCCGACTAGAAAATCTGGGGTCGTGGGTTTTATCCCCAGTGAACGCATATACTTTTCACTACTTCCTTCCTATTACCCATATCTGAACTTATCTAATGTTGGAATCTTAGAATTTGTGAACAAACACTACACATGTGGAAAACTGCATTTTTTAACAAAATTACACAAACATGAATGCTGGCATGAAAATATTTCAGCAAACATTTAACTATTTTTTTTTACCAAAATTCCTTCTTTCTTGCATGATCAGAATTCTTGAATGATCACGAAATGTTCTGACCTGATCACGACATGATCACAACATGTTCTGACTTGATCACGACATGATCACAACATGTTCTGACCTGATCACGACATGATCACAACATGTTCTGACTTGATCACGACATGATCACAACATGTTCTGACTTGATCACGACATGATCACAACATGTTCTGACTTGATCACGACATGATCACAACATGTTCTGACTTGATCACGACATGATCACAACATGTTCTGACTTGATCACGACATGATCACAACATGTTCTGACTTGATCACGACATGATCACAACATGTTCTGACTTGATCACGACATGATCACAACATGTTCTGACTTGATCACGACATGATCACAACATGTTCTGACTTGATCACGACATGATCACAACAACAGTGAAGCAAGATAACAAGAACAAACACAACAGATCTAAACAGACAGTCATACCATACTAATCCACCATAATGGCAAATACAGACTTCTACCAGGAATTCGTAAATTACACAGTATTACAGAACCTATGGACTTGCTAGGGAACGAAATGATTACATTATACCAAATTATTCAGCACACATCCTCATCAGTAATCCCCACACCAGGAGCAGGTGAATTAGCCAACGACTGACGAACAACCAATAATAGAAATACTGACCGACATTTCCTTGAGAAGAAATTTTTCACAGAAAGCTTGTTTTTGTTCTTATCATACATGTTTATAATTGCGACATATTTTGGCTGTAGAGATCGTCACTAGAAGGGTCAAAACGCAGATAAATCGTACAAGAACACAAATCAATATAGCATCAGAAAAATACATGCATAATACATTTGAAATCTGTCCCCCAGAAACTAATATTGAATTACCATATGGCACAAAGAGATTACAGACTTGCTGGACACTATACATACCTAATATTAGCCAGAATAATTTCGTCTATCATGCGGATAGCTAGTAAATGCACTGTATTGTAGCAGTGGAGAACAGACGGCCATGACCTTGTCACCCTAATGGATATACCATAACAAATTGTACACCCCAGACAGTTACAGTCCTACAAGTATGGCACATGAAAAATTCACATCTGAATTCAGTTGATGTGGCAGCATTATACACTATGGTACTATACCACAGAAGAAATAACAGCCCACACACAGGTGTTTTAGGGGGAAAATTACAGAAAAGTGGTGCATAACGATACCACAACCTTCTAAGGAAACTATAGTGGTGTTTTTGGGGCAACTACAGTGAAGTGTCTATTTGATATTGATCCTCATACAGTTTACTGAATACTGACCACCACATGATGGGTATTACTGAACTGGAGAATCTGTGAGCGAGCTAACCCCGCTTCATCATATCTAGGTATTCAAACTCTGTTAGCAGAGGGTCTAATAATGAATTACAAATCCCTTCCTTATTATTATTAGAGTGTTATTGAATATTGCCAAATAATGTCAACCAAACAGTGTTATTTATCATGGATCATCACCCGAGTGCTATTGAATATATTACAGGTAACCGTCACAAACGTTATAGAATATCATATATGGGTGGAATTGAATACTGACCACCATATTGGGGTTAGCAAATCCTTACCACTAAAGGGGTGCTATTTGGGATAGAGTATGATCAGAATGTCTATGTTGACCGTGCCACAGAGGATAAGCTGGCGGGAATGATGGCATGTACTATACTTTCAGCATCTGACAGTGTTTACCTGGTAACACAAGCTCTCGTCAATATTGACATTTCTATGATGGCCACTGTTACTCGGGTACCCATCATCCTCACCTGTCTCCCACCTGAATACAGGCCTAGGTGTCACATAAAGCCAGCAGAAAGTTCATGACATGCCTAAAACTTTTATGTACATGCAAGTTCATAATCTGTCTAAACCTTGCAAGTACAAGATGATAACCTGCATAAAATTTGTAGTTGCAATTTATAATCTGCCTAAAAATAGTAAGTACACATTCCTAAACCTGGCAAATACTAGTAACATTCCTAACCTGGCAAATACTAGTAAGATTATTACATGTGTAGATCTATAAATAGAGGCTGATAACTTGTTGGGAGATAAAACATGATACCTATGTCGGTCATATGTATATAAACATTGGTACTTCTAGTTCTACGATGAAAGACAGAAAATAATATTATAGTTAAGGTAAACAACATCTTTCCTATATATATATATATATATATATATATATAGTGGACTGTCCTCTCAAGTGGAGTCTGTCTAAAATGATGTAATGGCTGATTTGATCATTATTGCCTTAAATTAATGTTTGATGAAATTCAATATAACTGAAACATAATCGTATCATTACTATAAAACCCTTCATGTAAATATAGGTTTGTGCCAATCAGAGGCTATAACAAAAGCAATATGGGCCTAATAATATAGAGCAGGCCGAGTGGAGCTTTATCATCACAGATTCAGGTCAGTTGACTCAGGGTATCAGCTGTTTATACCTGTTAATGGTAATATTTAAACAATTCCAGACCCCCTATCTGTAAAGTGTGGCTATGGGGCAAACAGGGCAAAATCTACGCATACACATCTGGGTTCATCCCACTGTTAATGTAAGTCTGATATAAGTACTGGTTTTTATATTTATGTTACCATGGAAATAGCTGTATAGTATATGGGTTAAATATGTAGATATTAGTGTATACAAGTATAATGAATGAGGCCATCTTCATTATGACAGCTAGCAAGCAATGTGGCTTAGGAATAACCATGTTAACACCTTGGCAATAATAGAAACATACGTCCTTCATCCCTCAGACCAGTAGATTTTAATGGGATATGTATGAGGGCACTCTCAATACTAATACCTATCTATAATACAGCTAGGCCTCTCAAGGGCACTTTTACCAGTGCAGTACATTGATGAGCTCCAAAAATATGCTAATATTTTTAGAATATATATAATTTTTTTTGAAAGAAAGAAGTATTTTCTTTTCTTTTTCACCAATAAATTACTTTGTGATCTCATTTCTCAATGGATCGGCATGAATTTCGTAAATAATACAAGACTTAGCTTTTATTTTGACTATTTGGCTTATTAAAAAAAATCATACACAAATATCTAATTCATGATTACTTAATGACTCAGAAAAAGGAAAGTTATAAGCATTTTTACCTAAATTAATATGTGCACTGCATTCATTTTGGATCAGTATATGATGTTTTGTTTTCAACCAAAAATGAATTATATAGTAAATGAATCTTGGAAAATGGAAAACTCAATACTGAAACAAGGAAATACCAAAGGGATACTGGATACCTAATTATAGCAGGATTGGTCACCGAATATTGATGGTTGTAGAGCTTACAAAGGAAGCCACATCTTCACACTGGTCTTATGTTACACTTACTTACTGATTGCATCATGTACAGTAGGGAACTAACAAATCTACATGACTGTTTTTGTCGTCACAGGTTTAGAATGGGGACTAAATAGGTAATTATTTTAAATTTTGACACTCTATTTTCAGGCATAAGTCAAAAACTCAAATGAATTTCCATTTTACCATTTGCTTTTAACTGCCAGTTTAGTATCCCAGCAGCTAATACGATTATTATACACGAAATGCATGTTAAGAAAAATCGATGGTCCCATATAACAGCACAACATGTTAGTGTTCACTGTTACCGAGATGCTCGGAATAGCTAGAGGGTGTCTCATACGGCAAGTATTTGTACACGTGGAGCTCAGGCTCCGAGCTCTAGATGTTTACAATAAACTACACCATACCGCCACGTGACAGTGTATCTGCATACAAAACGCAGTTGCATGCTGCACGTAAATACAACTTTTGAGAATCAGTGAGTTATGATTATTTATGATAATGAGGTATGTAATGACGTTATCGGTTGTGTACGTACCGCTCTGGTACCATTCCCCGTCGGCGTCGTCCTCCATCCCCCCGAGGATGTCCTCTGTCTGCATGCTGCTGTCCCGGGGGTACGGTTAACCTCCACCCCGTGCCAGAGTAGCAGAGTAAATCACAAACCGACTAGTACTCCTCTCCAACACAACGTGGCACACTGCACCATAACACGGATCTATCTGACAGACAGCGAGGCACGCAGTCACATGATCGATCATGTGATTTGCAATGGCCAGCTGCGGCGCCGGTGTCGCCTCGTCAGACTATTTTCTTGCATTATTGAAATTGGCATTGGTAATGAATAACAGAACCAAAAGATTCACACTTTTATAAATAAAGCTTTCAGACAAGCTTAAAACGTCCATAAATAATAAAACAACCAGATACCTCGAAAAAAAAACCCGCGAAAAATAGGCCTGTCACAGTAATTAATGTGGTATGCTACATGATTATCAGTCACTTGGTTAATGCACGGAGATCCTTTAAAATAAGATAAAAGTCATGTTTTATTCTGTTTATTACATACTTACAAATAAAAGCTACTATCTTATGATAAATTTTTCTTTTGAAATATTGAAAAACGAAAACATTTCCAAAAGGAGTGTGATGCGGGCTGATACCGGTTTTGTGGTGTGATACAGCGAGGGCTGATATGGTTAAGAGCAATGTGTCCCATAAACAAAATACCCGTATTTATTAGTAAGTATGTGATAAAACAGTTTATTACATACTTACTAATAAATACCTTTTTTTTTGTATATGAAAATGGATCATAAGATAATATCTATACCGTAATATATTAGTAATTATATAATAAACAGAATAAAACATGCCTTTTTTCCATATCACACCCAGTCTCAACCCTCGCCTAATATCAGCCCTCTGGCTGATATTGAGAGGGCTGATATTGGAGTCTCCGGTTGATACTGGGTGGGATATGGAAAAAGGCACGTATTATTCTCCATGTAACAGGGTACATATATTGTATATATTTAAGACAGGACCAGAAAAAAGTCATCCATGGAAAACCATCTAAAATTGAGGTCTCATTTGATTCAAAATACCATTTAAAGAAACGTTTTACCAAATGGCAGAGCAGTCATTTCTGCAGGAACAAGATGGTGTTTTTTATGGTTACCAGTTTCCTCAGCTGAAGAATGTCAATCGAAAATCACTCAGAATTTTCTGTCATAATTTGAATTTAATGTCTCTTCATGATTGGTCCCCAATTATTCAAACAGTTTAATTGGAAGACCTGAAGAGTTTCCAATTGGCAAACATTCAGGTGTAATGGTTCTTGCTATTATTTCAAAACATTTTTAGCTAGTAGGTTTATCTAAGGACTGTACAAAAGAAATTTAAATACTTAAAAAAAAACCATTCTTATTGGCTGTAAGCTAATTAGAGCCACATGGTGGAGTCTACTTTCAAATCAAGGGTTTTCAGTTTTACCTCCCCGCAACATGTACAGTCTATACATGCATGCACAACCATGCATATTTGTGACTAACAGCTTGAAAGGTTTTTAGTTTCAAGTAAATATGGTTTTGTTAAATGGGTCTCAAGCAAGTTTGAAACTATATCTTTTTATATTCTATCATTTCACTTTAGAATTTTCTTAAATGTGTGCTTTATATTTCAGAACATCTTTTATGCTGGAAAAGTAACTAAAACACTTTACATCCTTTAGGTAGTAAAATACTGATGAAAATAAATGTGAGTGGGAATTACCTAAATTTTTCACAAATGATTAATACTCAGATATGATTAATGCATCTATCATCCACAAGGACAGAATCAAGAAATTCAAGAAATGCAAGACACAACACACATGAAATAATATAGCTGACTTTTATTTGATTTGTTAACTATACAAACATAGACAAATCATGACAGTAAGGTTATCAAGTAATGACAAATACTTCAATAAACCCATGAATATCCGGTCTCTGTTACATCAAGGGTTGGAAGTTTTATGAGACATTCATGACAATTTTTAATCCCTCATATTTCCGTCTTAATTAAAATTAAAACTATAATATATACATATTGCATTCTGGCATTTAAAAAGACCAACATCATGGAATAACCATGATAAAACTCTAATATTTTCAATCTGATTGGAAAAACCGAGTTTGAAAATTGTATTAACTACAATGAATGTAGATACAGCCGAGCCCAGATCTGTGAGAGTAAACGGCAATTGATCGTTCTAGTATATACTGTGTCTATCTCAATGATACTGAACATCAACTTATAATATTGATATACAAAGTAAATATTTTATAAAGGCGATATACCCGCGACAGAGAAATTCTTCAGTAGCAGTATAAACTCCAAAGGTCATTCTAAACATCTTCAACTAAATGCCTAGTTATAAAGTGCTAAGATGTAAAAATGGTCGAACTTCATCCTTATAAAATTGCACCTCAAATTCAGAAGGATTAATAAACAAATACATGTAGATAAGTTAATTATTAATATCATTACCCTTTCTATTTTATAGAATAAAGAATTACTGACCATCTTAAGAGAGATTGATTTTTAATGAACACAAGAGAAGCTAAAAGGTAAATTATCACAGGCATGTTGTAACTGCAACATTAGACTACATAGAGTTAATAAGATCTCACCACTAGTCATTGCCCAGTATACAGGAGACTTTGCCAACAAGCCATCAAATTTTACATGAGACTTGGCCCACCAGCCATCTTGTTATACATAAGACTCGGCCCACCAGCCATCAAATTATACATAAGAATCGGCCCACCAGCCATCAAATTATACATAAGACTCGGCCCACCAGCCATCAAATTATACATAAGACTTGGCCCACCAGCCATCAAATTATACATAAGACTCGGCCCACCAGCAATCAAATTATATATAAGACTCGGCCCACCAGCTGCTAGTTATCTTGTTTTACATAAGACTTACTCCACCAGCCAACTGACAAACTTTCATAACATTAAGCAAGATAAGTTTTACTTATTTAAATAAAAGTATGGCAATAGGAGAAAACAGAAATATAATACACTTATAACAACCTATTTTCATACAAGTTTACAAGATTTGTTGTACATATATTCAAATACTTGTTCATCAAGGTTTTTGTCAAGGAACATTTATCAAAGATGGATTCCCAATAATTTTCAGTATTTCAATACGTGTTATTATCAAAACGTTATTTATGTTGTCCTTCCTGTTTGGAGAGACTCAGCAATAGGTGTTGTATTCTTCTTTAGGTCAGTAAACTAAACATAGAGTAGCTGTTGCTAATTTACCAGTACAGATGGCTGATTAAAATAATAGAGGTCAACTTTTTGGACAATTTTATTGCTTTTTGAGAGACTTTAAATCTCTATCCCAGTGGGTTGTAAGCTGTACAAGTGCCTTGAGGTTTTTGTGTATGGATACAGGACAATTTCATGTCAACTAAAGGTAGAATGCCATTAATACGCTCTTTCACATGTACAGTTAATACAAAAATTGAACCACACAAACAGATCATACACTAAATCTTCATAATAAGCCTGATTTGGCTAGCCTTAAATTCCATGTAGGAATCAACATTGGTGCTCTCGGCCCAAACATGTACCAGAGTGTAAGGTATTTGATTATCAAATGACAGGATTTACTATTGCAGCTTGATTTTCCAACCCTTCCATGTATCTTATCTTATGATTTTATAACCTTGTAGATTATAATTTATATAACAGATAAACCTAGAAAAGAGCAACAATGAAAGTAAGTAGACTAAATAATCTGTAAAAGGTTGAGAAAATAGGACACCCTTGAAATTAATCCTTCTTACTGTTTTTGCAAATAAGAAGGCATTGTAAACAGGCGGCTTCAAAAATAAGTCTGAAATTTCTGGAAACAAAAGCTTCTCATTAAGATGTTTGGATACTTGTGTGTCTACAATCTCAATAATACTGACCATTGAGGGTAATGAGAGCTTGTACAAAACCATTTGTTTCTTTTCCTGACAATCTTTCAAATACAACATAGTGAAATATTGACAAAAACCAGTGGGAACTCATCTTTAAAGCATGGAATGTAAAGCATTTATATCACCTCACCCATTCTTTGTGTTATCTTTGTTGGCATTGAACAGAACTGAATTATCTTGATAATGACAAAAAACTCTGTATCAATTTGTCTCATAGTAAGAGTTTTACATATAGGTGAGTTATTGATGTATATAGAACTCTTCCTTGTGTGACTTGAACACTTATGTCATTAATATTGTACATAGTATTTTAACAACAGACATGTATTATGTATACATTTCACAGATTCAATTCCTTGCCAGTCAGTCATTTGAAATACAATGGCACACAAATATTAATTTGCTTAAATACTTTCTCCAAACAGAACTTAAGTATCCATATCAACAAGTTTGACGGCATTGCAGAAATACAACTTACATAAGTATCACAGAGTATATTAGCTGAAGCATACTGCTACATCATTATTATCATAAAAGTAAGCTGTTTTGGACCTTATGGTAGCAGATTACACAGTTAAAATACACCCAGAAGGTGTTCCAGTGGGAACAGAAACACACCCACACAGCTTTATACAAATCAGGTAATGGAAAGATTGATAAGTAACGAATTAACATTAGTAATTAACTAATAAATACTGTTCCAGCGAAGTGAAGATGACTGCACATCTTCCCTGCAGTGTCAAGATGGGCACACCTTCCCAGCAGTTTCATTTGGTTTGGTTTGTTTGTGTTTTACGTCCTAGTAACAGCAATGGTCATTTAAGGACGTGCCAGGTTTTGGTGGTGGAGGATAGCCAGATTTCCTGGAGAAAAACCACTGACCTACGGCCAGTACCTGACGACTGCCCCACATAGGCCTTGACCCTGCGATCCAGTGGTGGAGGGCTAGTGATAGCAGATTGTCTTGCGCCTTAACCACTTGGTGACCATCCCCCCCCCCCCCCCCCCCCCAGCAGTTTCAATATCACTCTTAAAATTCCCTCGATGTCAAGATGACTGCTCACTTTATTTACTACACTTGCTATATATTGAGGACTCCAATGTACATGTCAGTTCGTTTTACCATATCATAAAATCTCTATAGACGTCCATCTTTGGTGACTTCCAGTGAGGACACTTGAACTTAAGGCTAAACTTTATACTGTCAAGAAATATCACAAATTCTTTTAGAACATGTCATTGCTTCATAACATTAGCACCAATCCACATAAAGGTGTCTACATTTAAATCGTGGACAGAAATGGAAGTTTCAATCACAGCAAACATGCATGTAAATGCTTTGTTGAGATTCTGATTTCTTTGTAATGGAGGAGTCCATGAGGTAAATTGATTCTAGGGTCTATGCTGAAATACCATATGGTAGAACTGCATGTGAGCTGGTCAGTTTGTGATGGGGAGCTGGTCAGTTTGTGATGGGGAGCTGGTCAGTTTGTGATGGGGAGCTCCTCCATGTTGACCTTGCCCAAGTGCTGTGTGATCCTATACCTCGCAAGGTCCTTCCTGGTCACCATGCCGATCACCTAGAGACAACCATCAACCAACTCATCAACACATCATCACCACAAATCATTTATATCAGCTTATTTAGTACACATTCTTTTATTTTAAAACTTATTCATCAGTTTACTCCTGTAATCTGTCTGACCTGTTATGTATATACTATTTTCGTACAATCCACCTATTTTTTTCCTACTTTAAGAGTTGATTGTAGTAAAATTGAGATAGTTGCCATGGTAAAATAAATACAAACTAACCTGTTGTTGTCTGTTGACCACAACAACATGCCGCAGTCCAAGCGCCCTGAACAGGCGGAAAATTCTTGGAAAGGATGCACACTAAAATGAAAGTGATCAATTAAACAAATATGAAACTATGTTTAGTCATACAGATAACAAAAGAATTTCACAGATCAGTAAGATGGCCACTGGTGGTCCTATTGAATTTCAGATCTGGTTTACTTGGGCTGGTAATTTCTTTTATGTAAGTATCTGTAGATAATTTCCTGAAAATATTTGCATTACTTCAAAGTTATCTTAAGTCACAAAGTTTGGAGCCAAAACACTAGATGGCTGCTGGTGGCCACATATTGAATTTCAGATCCTGATCAAAATGGAACTTTTTTGATATTGTTAGTATTTATAGTAAGCTGCATGAAAATCAGAGTACCTTACATGTATTCCTTTAAGAGTTAATGGACATAATCCTTTAAATGCAAGACAACACCATGGAAGCAAACAAAGTGATACCTTTAGGTCACCTTCATTTTGTGACAGTTGTCAAGGTTACTATACAAATTATGTGATAAGATGTCAAGATAAATATAAACATATGTAAATTTTAACAATGAATGTTTATATAGGAAATTGCAAAATTGTTCAAGTGTCAGACACTTACGTGTGAAACAGAATAGGCGCCAGGATTAAAATATGGCTTTAGGTCAATGTGGAAATTCCGTTCTTGTGCAGAAATGTTTATTCGCTGCAAGATAAGTGGAAAAAAAGCAAGTCAATTTTCCAGCTTTATACTTTTCCAATATTGTGCAATTTTTATAATAAAGGACTTTATGTATCCTTGAATAATTTAATCTTCCTTTGAAATTATTAACATAAAAAAACCTCCTATGTATTAGAACATCATAATGTTGAAATATTGAATACTCGCATATAAAGGTGTTCCCTAGGTAGAAATCCCTGAATACTCACATGTATAGGTGTTCCCTAGGTAGGAATCCCTGAATACTCACATGTATAGGTGTTCCCTAGGTAAAAATCCCTGAATACTCACATGTATAGGTGTTCCCTAGGTAAAAATCCCTGAATACTCACATGTATAGGTGTTCCCTAGGTAAAAATCCCTGAATACTCACATGTATAGGTGTTCCCTAGGTAAAAATCCCTGAATACTCACATGTATAGGTGTTCCCTAGGTAAAAATCCCTGAATACTCACATGTATAGGTGTTCCCTAGGTAAAAATCCCTGAATACTCACATGTATAGGTGTAAACCAAACGTATGCATCTCTGAATACTCACATGCACAGGTGTAAACTTAAGATGGGTAAACCTGAATACTCACATGTATAGTTGTAAACCTTTGGTAGGCATCTCTGAATACTCACATGTATAGTTGTAAACCTTTGGTAGGCATCTCTGAATACTCACATGTATAGTTGTAAACCTTTGGTAGGCATCTCTGAATACTCACATGTATAGTTGTAAACCTTTGGTAGGCATCTCTGAATACTCACATGTATAGTTGTAAACCTTTGGTAGGCATCTCTGAATACTCACATGTATAGTTGTAAACCTTTGGTAGGCATCTCTGAATACTCACATGTATAGTTGTAAACCTTTGGTAGGCATCTCTGAATACTCACATGTATAGTTGTAAACCTTTGGTAGGCATCTCTGAATACTCACATGTACAGTTGTAAACCTTTGGTAGGCATCTCTGAATATTCATATGTACAGGTGTAAACCTGGGAAAGGTAAACCTAAATTCTCACATGTACAGGTGTAAACCTGGGATAGTTAAACCTTAATACTCACATCTACAGGTGTAAACCTGGGATAGGTAAACCTTAATACTCATATGTATAGGTGTAAACCTGGGATAGGTAAACCTTAATACTCACATGTACAGGTGTAAACCTGGGATAGGTAAACCTTAATACTCACATGTACAGGTGTAAACCTGGGATAGGTAAACCTTAATACTCACATGTACAGGTGTAAACCTGGGATAGGTAAACCTTAATACTCACATGTACAGGTGTAAACCTGGGATAGGTAAACCTTAATACTCACATGTACAGGTGTAAACCTGGGATAGGTAAACCTTAATACTCACATGTACAGGTGTAAACCTGAAAACTCACATGTCCAGGTATGAACCTAAAACAGGTAAACCTAAATACTCACATGTATAGGTGTATACCAAAGGTATGCATCTCTGAATACTCACCTGTATAGGTATAAACTTAAGATAATTAAACCTGAATATTCACATGTACAGTGTAAACCTTGGATAGGTAAACCTTAATACTCACATGTACAGGAGTAAACCTGAATACTCACATGTACAGGTGTAAACCTGGGATAGGTAAACCTGAATACTCACATGTACAGGTGTAAACCTGGGATAGGTAAACCTTAATACTCACATGTACAGGTGTAAACCTGGGATAGGTAAACCTTAATACTCACATGTACAGGTGTAAACCTGGGATAGGTAAACCTTAATACTCACATGTACAGGTGTAAACCTGGGATAGGTAAACCTTAATACTCACATGTACAGGTGTAAACCTGGGATAGGTAAACCTTAATACTCACATGTACAGGTGTAAACCTGGGATAGGTAAACCTTAATACTCACATGTACAGGTGTAAACCTGGGATAGGTAAACCTTAATACTCACATGTACAGGTGTAAACCTGAATACTCACATGTCCAGGTATGAACCTAAAACAGGTAAACCTAAATACTCACATGTATAGGTGTATACCAAAGGTATGCATCTCTGAATACTCACCTGTATAGGTATAAACTTAAGATAATTAAACCTGAATATTCACATGTACAGTGTAAACCTTGGATAGGTAAACCTTAATACTCACATGTACAGGTGTAAACCTGAATACTCACATGTACAGGTGTAAACCTGGGATAGGTAAACCTGAATACTCACATGTACAGGTGTAAACCTGGGATAGGTAAACCTTAATACGCACATGTACAGGTGTAAACCTGGGATAGGTTAAACTGAATACTCACATGTATAGGTGTAAACCTGGGATAGGTAAACCTTAATACTCACATGTATAGGTGTAAACCTGGGATAGGTAAACCTTAATACTCACATGTACAGGTGTAAACCTAAATACTCACATGTACAGTGTAAACCTGGGATAGGTAAACCTAAATACTCACATGTATAGGTGTAAACCTGGGATAGCTAAACCTGAATACTCACATGTATAGGTGTAAACCTGGGATAGGTTAAACTGAATACTCACATGTACAGGTGTAAACCTGAATACTCACATGTCCAGGTATAAACCTAAAACAGGTAAACCTAAATACTCACATGTATAGGTGTAAACCAAAGGTATGCATCTCTGAATACTCACCTGTATAGGTATAAACTTAAGATAATTAAACCTGAATATTCACATGTACAGTGTAAACCTTGGATAGGTAAACCTTAATACTCACATGTACAGGTGTAAACCTGAATACTCACATGTACAGGGGTAAACCTGGGATAGGTAAACCTGAATACTCACATCTACAGGTGTAAACCTGGGATAGGTAAACCTAAATACTCACATGTACAGTGAGGTGTAAACCTGGGATAGGTAAACCTGAATACTCACATGTACAGTGTAAACCTGGGATAGTTAAACCTTAGTACTCACATGTACAGGTGTAAACCTGGGATAGGTAAACCTAATTACTCACATGTACAGTGTAAACCTAAGACAGGTAAATATAAATACTCACATGCATAGGTGTAAACTTAAGATAGGTTAGCCTAATTACTCACATGTATAGGTGTAAACCTGGGGTAGGCATCCCTGAAATCTTTTATACTTAGTATTTTCTTTATCTGTTGTGCATCTTCATGTTCCTCAAACACCTGTAATTATGACATAGTCAGTTGAGGTTCTTATAACCATGTACAAATATTGCTGCCAGAGAAACAATTAAAATGAAGTTTTGGGAGTTAAGAAGTTAATCTAACACTGTATTTCAGTATTTATTGCATGACAGGAAAAGCAAATGGTAAATGAAGTAGGAACACTTACAAATATCTCTAATTTAATGAGTATGAACATGAACAAGTGGATTAAGTATAGTTTATAAAACCTAATTATCTCGAAGATAATAAGGTATCCTGCTAGGTTTGCATGGGGTTAATGCTGTACCTCATTCTGCTGCTCATTACTGTATTCATACACAAAATACATTGTTATAATGTATACATTGTTGTAATGTATTATTGTTGTAATGTATTATTGTTGTAATGTATACATTGTTGTAATGTATAAATGTATCATTGTTGTAATGCATACATTGTTGTAATGTATACATTGTTGTAATGTATAAATGTATACATTGTTGTAATATATCATTGTTGTAATGTATAAATGTATCATTGTTGTAATGTATTATTGTTGTAATGTATAAATGTATCATTGTTGTAATGTATACATTGTTGTTATGTATAAATGTATACATTGTTGTTATGTATAAATGTATACATTGTTGTAATAAATCATTGTTGTAATAAATATATTGTTGTAATGTAAAAATGTATCATTGTTGTAATGCATACATTGTTGTAATGTATAAATGTATACATTGTTGTAATGTATAAATGTATCATTGTTGTAATGTATTATTGTTGTAATGTTTAAATGTATCATTGTTGTAATGTATACATTGTTGTTATGTATAAATGTATACATTGTTGTAATAAATCATTGTTGTAATGAATACATTGTTGTAATGTATACATTCCAATTGTGTCACATTTTGTCTTATATGGTTATCTGCACTTCATTTTAGGAATATTCACTCACGTTGAATGACAGATACATTAGTAAACATACTCACCTTAAGAGAAAGACATATCATACATATTCATCTAAAGCTTTATATTTAAAACTTTACATACTCACCATCAGTGTATAACTATATACATTCACCTAACATATTATTATTCAAAATATACCTACCTTTAGTTTAAGCAGGGTGACAAGCTGAGACCTAAGGATGGTTCCATGGAATGTTCCAAAGGTCCCGGAGTCAGGAGACTGAAATGTTGTTCAACAATCTTTGTTCACTATTCACTTAAAATGTTTAATAATAAAAGCAAACAAAATCTCTTTGTTTTATAAGTTTGCTATATATTAAGGAAACAAACTTATCTGTCATACTGATATATTTTTGACTGATAAATATGTGAATCCAGTAGTTTTCTTATGCATTTTGTATGTTTCGTACAATAACTAAAAGGTGTTCTGATGAAAGTGGGCGTAACAGAAAACTTTCTAAACTAGAGGGTGCATCCCTTAGATGTGCTGTGTCCAGACCTGCCCTTGGTTACATACCTCCTCAGTGAAGGGATCATAGTCCTCCACTACCGGGAACCCATTATGTGTCTCATTCTTAAGGATGTTGACAATACGCCCTACTGACTCGTACGACCTCAGCACGGTGACAGGATGGCTCATTACTTCCCTGCATCACACAAAACATGTCATTATACCTATGTTACAGTGTGTCTGATTGGATTAAATACATCACATGACTGGGAGACCAAACTTTGTGCCTTCCTCACATTATCAGGTCTCCCTCAGTCAGTCAAATAAGAATACCAATTTGAACTTTTCTGATATGGTAGAATAAATCTGGTATATTCTATAATACAGATGCAAGACTTACGTGGCAGAGATGTTGGTAAGCATGGAAGAGGGTTCCCAGCCAAGGAGTGGAACGCCTTGTATGTGGATATGCATGTCGTAGATACCCTGTAATAAAAGTAGTAAGTAAGAGCTTGTACATGTACACCCAAAGTGGTTATGTATCTTGTGTCCCACGTACAGTAGTTCAAACATATTGGAAGAGGGCTTGTACACTCTGTAAGTGAATATAATTATACCCTATCACAAGCAATAACAGTAGTATTGATAATTGATAAGTTGGTGATAATTATATTCTCTGTAATTATTTTTTCTGTCTTTTCCTAAAAAAGAATTATTCTAATAATCTCTGGTGGAATTGTAAGAGTGGAGTTGTAAGTTTGACAACAGCTGGGTAAACTGTGGGCGAGCTCACACAGATATACCCCCAGCTTCATCAAACCTACAAACTTCTCAAAGGTAATTTAAACTTTGTTTGCAGGGAGTATTATAATGGAATCACAAATTTCTGTCTTCAAGCACATCTACATATGATGGTAGAGGTTATCCCCTAGAGAGTGTGGCTAACCTCATTGAAGATGTCTCCAATCCACTTTGACACCATCAGCACAATCATGACAGGAAGACCAAGTGTGATGTTTCCAGTTGCCTCAGTAATGATAACCGTCAGGCTAATGGTCATCCTTACAATACCTCCTGTAGGAAATCAAGATGTAAAGTAGGTCGCCATGACCTCATTAGCAATAACTATCAGTTCACGGTCATCCTCATTATATGTGTAACACCTCCCATAGTAAATTAGAATGTAAAGTAGGTCACAATGATATTCATTAATGATAACCATCAGGTTATAGTTGTCATCACAATATATCCTATAGAACATTGTTGTTAAATAATTCACAGATGTAATAATGACACTCAGATCAAAGGAGGGCAAAACAAAAGTGAAAGTTAGACTGTGGTGGGTATTTCCCAGTATACAGTGTTGATATGACCTACCTATAGCTATGCAGGTGCTAATGAACCTTGTTTGGAACAGTTTGTCTATCTAGCTATGATGAATCTCCTCCTAGCAAAGAATAATTTATTTATCTTGGTATGAAATGCCCTCTGGTAAACAAATCTAAGATAATTTACCTACCTAGCTGTGCAGCTCCTCCTAGCAAAGCATACTTGGAATAGTTAACCCAGGTCTAAACAGAAAAGAAGAAATTGAACTATGGAGGCTATACAATCAGAAAAACAGTTTTTGTTTTGACTTGCTATCTCTCTGTTTTATAACCCTCTCATGACAACAAACAAGTTCATTTTCCATGCATAGTTACATCATGTATCAGTTAATTTTTAAAATTCCAACTAAATTTAAAAACATTGTCATCGATAATATGAATGATCTTTAACAGCAGACAATGGGCAGTACTGAATACTGGCTTTACAGCGAAAGAAAAGGTGTATTGATTATGGATACTTACGGCAGAAGGAAAGGCAGACTTGAGCAGGACAGCCAGCAGTCTTCCCCAGGAGGCACCAATCAAAATGCTGGGTATAAACAGGCCACTAGGCACGTACAGTCCGTAGGTCCAACAGGCCAGGAAGAAACTGCACAGACAGTAGACAGCCAGGGTTGCAGGTCGGAATGTACCTACAGGTAACTTACAGGTAAAAACTGGGCATATTTCTAATATTACATGTTAACAAGCCAGAAAATCATTACAAGGAAGTCTGCATATACATGTACATTGAATAGCCTTTGTAAAAAAAATTAAAAAAAAAAAAAAAAAAAATTGAGAACATTGGTGACTTTTTCTAGACACTTTTGTATTTTGCACACAGATGATATAACAGAGGGTCTATCTGGCTTATGAACTAAGTTGTAGGTTAAAAAAGATTACTTAAAGTTAAGTTAAGTTAAGATAAGATAAGTATAAGTTATTTAAAGAAGTTGTACTGTAGTTGTCAAAGTTTGTGATTCAGTATGGCCTGCCTGAGCAACATACTACAAATTAACAAGTAAGACTGACAATACAATGTATGTACTTGGAATACCCGCTCTCCATCCTTATATTACACTCAGTACCCCTCACAATCATCACCTATATTGTCATAATATAAAATGTTCTACTTGGTAGTCCCCATAGTTCATGGTGTATTTAATTATACAGTACTACTTATTTTCGTTTTCAATTTGGAATTAATATTTAAAGATGAAAAATATTGACCATATATCTATTAAGACATTGAGATGAACAGATGCTTAGTCACCTATCACATGTATTAAAAAACATTCATGAAATTTTATTCAAAATTGTTTAAATACAATGTCATCTCCAATCACTTGTAATTTTAATTTTTCACTGGTGAACATGCATCTGCAAAATATCATTCTAAAAATTTGTGATATTAGAATAGCGAATTATTCACTAATCAATTACCTTACAAGCAGAACTATTAACTATCCAGCTTTTAGCTTTTATTGGTGACCATATGCTTTTATATCTATAATGTATGATTGCCTCTAAACTACTATACTGTACCATGTCAGTGTAATATACAGTATTTAACTCTCCTTTCTGGCCAACAACACGTATCCTTCACAGCACATCATAAGGACAGTTGTCTGAAGTAGTCAATCTCTACACACTTTACTGGTATACCGTGTGGAAGTGTTTTTTGATGTTCTACTTACCAGGTATATTGTGAAATAATTTCACTAACACTTCCTTCAGATGCCACACATGGTATACTTACCAAGTATATCAAGAAATATATCCTTAATGTTTTATTCTGTCACCAAACACTTACCAGGTATATCATGAAATAATTCCTTTATGTTTATTTTGTTGTCAAACACTTACCAGGTATATCATGAAATAATTCCTTTATGCTTTCCTCTGGAGTATGGAACAATAAACCAGCAGTAGCACTGTACTGGCCATCATCACAGAAAAACTACAACACACAGCGTTAGTATAGCTCACACCACACGGTAAAACACAACCAACAAGCCTAGAGTGAAGTCATATTTAAAATTGATAAATTTAGCTCACACCACACGGTAAAACACTACCAACAAGCCTAGAGTGAAGTCATATTTAAAACTAATAAGTTTTATGTCTCCATAAGTACATACACTTGGTATTCAATAGCAAATATTTAAAAAAAAAACATAATGAAAATCTGTATATTTTATGAAGATCCTCATTATTACACTGAATTACCACAGACATAACAGAAATATTTTTTTCGCTACCTCACAAAGTAATTTTTCTTTAGTATAGTATTGAGAGTCCGATAGAGGTCCCTATATTTACATTTCACTTCAAACTATTGAACTCACTATAAACTTTGGAGTTCACTATAAACCTCGGAGTTCACTTTAAACTGGTTGTAGGCTACCCTTTATTTTTGGTTAACTAAAGACTATACCCTTAAACCCCGATAATAATTAAGCCTGATTTGAAAACAGCTGGCCTTTAAAACAAGCTTTGATTTTCTTGCATATAAAAACACTTTGTATCACAATTACGCATCAATTTGAAAATTGGATGGCTGCATATAAATAAGACTTGGGTTCCTGGTCGGAATCCCTTTCCCACACTTGGTCAGGTTTGACATATAATCGTGATATACTGGTATTACATGATTTAAGCCTAACATTGTAGCATGAGTTTCGGACACTTCTGTGTGTCTATAAACATCTGACCAGCTCATCACATAGCTGTACGTTTTTACCTTGCTTCATGTAATGTCGGATGTATATTAGGGATGTAAATTACCAGGCGAATTAGCATAAGTAAAAAATTGTACATGTATATATGTAAAACAACTTACTCACGAATCATTGATTTTATTTTGCCTAGATTTATCTCATTCAAAAAGGGGAGACACATGTACGTTTGTATGATAGAGTATCATCAAAGAAGAAAATAAAGATTTTGAAAAGTTTTATTTTAAACATCAATTTGATACACGGTGTATGTTATTAACACAATAAAATATAGTTATACACACACACAAGCCATAATGATTATATCTATAAAACAAGGCTTAAAAAAATGTCAGTGAATTCTTGAATTAACTGTGGTACAATGTAGGTCAGCCAGATATAAGATTGATTTTAGGTCCAAGTTGACCTAGCCATGAGACTCAAATATACTGGTATTGGATGTGTGTGAGTCTTAAGGTTTTAGATAATTAGTTACATGTTTCCTTTAGTTATTTCATTTTTAGAATAATGTGATCGGCTGGAGTTAATGCTACCATCTCCACTGGTTATGATATTTCAGTGAGATGACACTCAAAAGTGGCTCCATCATCAATAGACCCCATTTTTTTAAGATCACAGCTTTTATCAGGATACAATATTAGGGATAAATATGGAAGAAAATAATCAGGGGCTGTTTTTTCTGCAGTCATCCATATTTTGTTAGGAGTTTTACCTACATTTGTATGAAAATGGGGTCAATGGGTCCAAGAATTATTGCTGAAACCCTGAAAACCCCCCAAATATAACAATGTACAGGATGACCTACTTGTACACTGTCTTCATCTGGGTCTTTCCTCATTGGCTGGCAGTCATTGTTGAAATACAGTGTCAGGTAGCTGACCGTTGCTGTTGCTACAGCAACCAAAATGGCTTCTAAAACTTGAGTTCCCCTGCTTGTGATGTACCTGTAGATAAGCCACATGTATACACAGATGTCCTATCAATATCATCTCAACAAGTATCGCATTTCAAACTACATGTATTTCATATTTAATTCATCAATCTGAGACAGAAATCTTTTACATCAATATGACATCTCAATCAATGGAGAAATAATTATAAACCAACAATATACCTATTAAAATCAAATATACATGTCAGAAAAATCTTTGAGAAATAGATAAACTATTGAGGGAATACTTACTTTTTACGAAAAATGGTCAATTTGTAATTGATGTGATTAAATGCAGCTCCAAGAAGTCCACCTTTATACAAAATAATTGTTGCAATTAGCAACTTATGGAAACAACTTTAATAGAAAAACTAATGATATATATTAATTTGGAAAATCAGAAACTGGATAAAGGTATTTCATACTAATTCTAGCTCAGCTATTAACCAGGGGGATCCTTTATCACCTTTTAAAAAAAACCAAAGTGAAGATGTCGGCAAGGTGACCCAATCACACCATATATTTATATAATGTGTGTCAAAATACTAGCAATTAAGATAAGAAACAATAAAGACATAAACGTTGCATTTATTTTTAATGTAAAAAAATCTTATTTCGCAATTGTTGAGGGATATTTAGTTTGCATTGGGAGGAGTATTTCGTCTGATGAGGCAGGGTTATTTGTTTGAGTTGGGACGGTTATTGGAGTTGGGAGGGGTAATGTTAGGTTTGAGTTGAAAGGATACTTGGTTTGAGTATGAGATTTGTTTGGTTTGAGCTGAGGGTAAATTGACTTGATTTGAGATAGTATGTGTATTTGGTTCAAGTTTGAGGAGTAGTCAACTTGAGTTAAGATAGCACCTGTTTTGAGTTAATATAGCACCTGTTTTGAGTTAGTAGGAGTACTTGGTTTGAGTTTGGACAGGAATTGAGCATGCTAGACTACACTTACCAAACACACCCATGAGGATAAAGAGAGGAATCTCAAGTCCTGAGTAGTCCGTCGTCTGCAAAGAAATCAAACAACTGTCTTCATTTAATGATTCTGAACCATACACAGTCTGTGTTTATGGTATATTGGGACTAATGGATAAATTAAAGAATAAGGTAAAAATTTGGAATGCAAAATTTCGATTTCAAGAAAAAAGAATCCAAAGAATTTACCAGGTCTATAACATTTTACCTTTCATTAATAAATGTACATTTAAATGGTGGTGACTTACATCAAACTTGCCAAAGTTGAAGAGACCCGGTGAAGAAAGGCTCCAGGGTGTACCCTTGACATAGCTTTGTACAATGTTCAAGGAGAAGGTCGACAACATGGATGCAAAAAACTGAAACAGAATTGAGATCAATAGCATTCATCAATACACTGATGATCAATAGAACAAGAGGCCCAGAATATGTTTAAAATAATTGGTATGAAGTAAAGATATAGCACTCCATGGTAGGTGCTGTAAGTACATATAAAATTTCAGAAAGATCCATCCAGTACTTGAGATATAACAAATTTCAAACAGAGCCACACCCCTATGCCCCTAGTGGGATCATACCCACCGTTTATACAAAATTGAGTCCCCTTGGCCAAAGGATGCTCCAGACTAAATAAGGATAAAATCCCTTAATCACGATGGTCGAAGAAGGATTTTAAAGGTTTTACCTCTATTTCTCCTATTGGACCCCGCCCTTCTGCCCCTGGGAGATCACACCCATTGCTTATACAAAATTGGTTCCCCTTTACCCAAGGATGCTTCACACCAAATATGGACCAAATCTTTTCATTCCTACAGAAGAAGAAGGATTTTAAAGAATAATTTGCTATGTTTCCCATATTTGGCCCCGCCCCTCAGGCCCCTGGGGGGTCAGACCCATGGTTTATACAAAATTGGTACCCCTTCACCCAAGGATGCTTTAGACTAAATAAGGAATAAATCCTGTCATTCCTACAGAAGAAGAAGGATTTTCTATTTGCTATATTTCCCATATTGGGGCCTGCCCCTCAGCCCCCAAGGGAGCCAGACCCACCGTTTATACAAAATTGGTTTCCCTTAACCCAAGGATGCTCAACACCAAATATGGACCAAATCCTGTCATTCCTACAGAAGTAGAAGGATTTTAAAGAATAATTTGCTATGTTCCCCATTGGGCCCTGCCCCTCAGGCCCTTGGGGGTCCAAACCCACAGTTTATACAAAACTGAGTCCCCTTGGCCCAAGGATGCTCCAGACCTAATAAGGATAAAATTCCTTAATCCCTAGAGTAGGAGGAGGATTTTGAAGGTTTTACCTCTAATTCCCCTATTCGGCCCCGGCCCTCCGCCCCAAGGGGGGCCACACCCACCATTTATACAAAATTGAGTCCCCTTGGCCCAAGGATGCTCCAGACTAAATTAGGATAAAATCCCTTAATTCCTACGGTAGGAGAAGGATTTTGAAGGTTTTACCTATTTCCCCTATTCGCCCCGGACCTTTGGACCAGGTGAGCTAAAAATCAAAGGGATGTAGCTCTTGTTCTGAAATGAAACTGACATTTTTGCCTTGCCAGATTATTCACCTAACAGCCTTTTCATCAAAGCCATGCATATACATACTGGTACTACCAAAAACAAATACAATGTATAATATTTGTTTTCTTGTGTTGACCTCTGCATCCCATTCAAGGATGAAAATAAAATGAGGGAGCACTAGCTAGAACAATGATTTTTGCCATTTCTTACAATCCTCCAAGTAAGTGCCTGGTTCCAGAAGCTGGCCCCCTCCTCCAAACTGAACAGTACACCCCCCACAGGTGCCCCAAAGGCAGCTGATACCCCGGCTGCTGCTCCTCCTGACACAAAGTCACGCTTCTCTTTGTCTGACCGGAAATACTGCAGAATCTGAAATGGCAAACACTAATATTACATAGTCTGTGTACTGACAGACAGACAGACAGACAGAAAAACAGATGTTTAACTTATTAAAACATATCATTACACATTTAAATAGTACTATTACATTACTGCAATGCATATGTTTGAACTTCAATTAGTTTAATATTTTTCAGGCACAAAATTTAAATACAAACTCTGCATAGAAAAAATATGATATATAATGTTAATGTACTGACCTTGAAATCAACATGGAAGGTGTCCGACTTGCCCTGAGAAATTCCAGCAGCCACCACAGCCCCAGAGTGAATCATTGGACCTTCCTGTTAACAGATAAACTGATCATTGTTAACACTTTGTACAGATGGATTTTCTTTCATTTTAGCATTAACATTCTAAGTCCAAGTATGTACAGTGTTTAAATTATTTTTGGGTGTGCATTGTTTCTTAACTAGAAATATTTGATGAATTTCTGAATTCATCACATCACATGTGATATGTGATGGACTTCCCTTCATATCTACGTACTGTACAACACACTACAGGATCTTAAACATTCATGTGTACCGAACATCGCAGACGGAGCTTTGCACATGGAGGTTACGCCATCGGTACTTATGAAGAAATAGAATACCCTCACTAACATGAATATAACACATAAGGAAGAACCTTTCTCATTGATAAGATCGATCTATCGTCTATTATATGTGGTTTTCTTTAAAAAAAGTGCATTAGAAAGGGAGATCAGCGGGATAATCTGATGTCTTGATTTTATGACTTGTACAAGTACTGTATAGTTGTTTAATTTTGCGGATTGAAGATTTCGCAACTTTGTTTCCAGAACTTATTCACTGGCTAATTTTTCGTGAATAACAATTTCTGTAAATCTATTTCAGAACACCTCGCAACTAAATGTAGTTAGGAGTACTAGTTAAATTCAACTGTATTTATGTTGTTTGATGATTTGCTGTCTTGCTTAGTGAACTTAAATGTTTTCATTAGTTTGCTACAATCTGGCAAAGGGTCCGTGATTGAGAACGGGATAACTTGGGGTTATGATAATAACATAATATTGAACTTTTTCAACACAAAGTTTAGACCTAAGAGCCTCAACTCAACTAACTTCACGGATGTATGAAACTTGGATGGTCTGGCTAAAATCTACAAATTTTCAAATTTTGATGCATCTGTGAAATTAGCAAAATTAAAACCCTTGTAAATATTAACAACTCTAAAGTGTAGAGTAGTGCATTAAGAACGTCACTGGAACTGTCTCCTTTTCATCAACTTACCCAAATATATCAGCTGTAGTTTCCATATATCTTGTATCTTTTCTTTAAAAAACAATTATTATTTTCATGTTGTAAAAATACTGGGGATCTAGAAGGGAGATAACTTACCTTGCCCACCACAAGTCCCCCAGCTACAGCACATATGACCCCCAGCACTTTACAGACCAGAGTTTTTATTCGCACCACATGTGGCACCTTCACGCCATTCAGGAAACACTTGATCTGAGGGATACCACTACCAGCAGCTATTGGCTGAAACAGATGAAGAGATAAATAGAGTTTATAAGTACATTGTATTGGGGAAGAGAGGTCAAATGCTATACCTGGGTGTTTGGAAATAGGGGAGGTCCAGGCAATGGCAGGATGTTTGAAGAGAAGGAGATTCTCAGTCTATAACAGAAGTTTTGGAGTGATGTGGGTTTTCAGACTCTAACAGGAGGTTAAGGGAGAGGGGTATTCTCATGACACAAAAAAAAAGGGTTTGGGGAGTGGGGAGGGTTTTGGGAGTGGGGTTGTATGAGTCTATTACATAATGTTTGGAGATAGTAGTTTAAAAGACTAACAAAATGTCTGTGGAGAATTAGGAGTAGTTATTGGTTATACCATGATACATGAAATAGGAGAAATGATGAAGTATATCAGGATACAGGGTGATATGAACATATGTGCTAAACTGAGAAACCATGCAAATAAAGTACTATGCTAAAACTCTTTGGTCATTTAAAATGATTTCTCTCTCAAACTCATGGAAAACCATGAAGAAGAAAGTGACGAAATATTCTGAAAATGATTATTAATTTATGTTACCTCTATAACTGCCGTCATGAAGGCTCCACACAGGACCAGTACTGCATTGATTCCAACCCAAATCAGAAATGGCCAATGAAAACAGGATAGATTAGCATCAACACAGCTATCAACCACTGTTATCTTTATAAGGAAAAAGGTGTCATAAAATGTTTTACAGCAGAAATCCATCTGTCATTCAGAAAATGTCAGTGAATGTAGCTGGAGGTAATACCATCACCATTGTGTTATCTGATGTGACCTAGCTTAGATACCATCACCATTGTGTTATTTGATGTGACTTAGCTTAGATACCATCACCATTGTGTTATCTGATGTGATCTAGCTTAGATACCATTACCATTGTGTTATCTGATGTGACTTAGCATAGATACCATCACCATTGTGTTATCTGATGTGACCTAGCTTAGATACCATCACCATTGTGTTATTTGATGTGACCTAGCTTAGATACCATCACCATTGTGTTATCTGATGTGACCTAGCTTAGATACCATCACCATTGTGTTATTTGATGTGACCTAGCTTAGATACCATCACCATTGTGTTATCTGATGTGACCTAGCTTAGATACCATCACCATTGTGTTATTTGATGTGACCTAGCTTAGATACCATCACCATTGTGTTATCTGATGTGACCTAGCTTAGATACCATCACCATTGTGTTATTTGATGTGACCTAGCTTAGATACCATCACCATTGTGTTATCTGATGTGACCTAGCTTAGATACCATCACCATTGTGTTATTTGATGTGACCTAGCTTAGATACCATCACCATTGTGTTATCTGATGTGACCTAGCTTAGATACCATCACCATTGTGTTATTTGATGTGACCTAGCTTAGATACCATCACCATTGTGTTATCTGATGTGACCTAGCTTAGATACCATCACCATTGTGTTATTTGATGTGACCTAGCTTAGATACCATCACCATTGTGTTATCTGATGTGACCTAGCTTAGATACCATCACCATTGTGTTATTTGATGTGACCTAGCTTAGATACCATCACCATTGTGTTATCTGATGTGACCTAGCTTAGATACCATCACCATTGTGTTATTTGATGTGACCTAGCTTAGATACCATCACCATTGTGTTATCTGATGTGACCTAGCTTAGATACCATCACCATTGTGTTATTTGATGTGACCTAGCTTAGATACCATCACCATTGTGTTATCTGATGTGACCTAGCTTAGATACCATCACCATTGTGTTATTTGATGTGACCTAGCTTAGATACCATCACCATTGTGTTATCTGATGTGACCTAGCTTAGATACCATCACCATTGTGTTATTTGATGTGACCTAGCTTAGATACCATCACCATTGTGTTATCTGATGTGACCTAGCTTAGATACCATCACCATTGTGTTATTTGATGTGACCTAGCTTAGATACCATCACCATTGTGTTATCTGATGTGACCTAGCTTAGATACCATCACCATTGTGTTATTTGATGTGACCTAGCTTAGATACCATCACCATTGTGTTATCTGATGTGACCTAGCTTAGATACCATCACCATTGTGTTATTTGATGTGACCTAGCTTAGATACCATCACCATTGTGTTATCTGATGTGACCTAGCTTAGATACCATCACCATTGTGTTATTTGATGTGACCTAGCTTAGATACCATCACCATTGTGTTATCTGATGTGACCTAGCTTAGATACCATCACCATTGTGTTATTTGATGTGACCTAGCTTAGATACCATCACCATTGTGTTATCTGATGTGACCTAGCTTAGATACCATCACCATTGTGTTATTTGATGTGACCTAGCTTAGATACCATCACCATTGTGTTATCTGATGTGACCTAGCTTAGATACCATCACCATTGTGTTATTTGATGTGACCTAGCTTAGATACCATCACCATTGTGTTATCTGATGTGACCTAGCTTAGATACCATCACCATTGTGTTATTTGATGTGACCTAGCTTAGATACCATCACCATTGTGTTATCTGATGTGACCTAGCTTAGATACCATCACCATTGTGTTATTTGATGTGACCTAGCTTAGATACCATCACCATTGTGTTATCTGATGTGACCTAGCTTAGATACCATCACCATTGTGTTATTTGATGTGACCTAGCTTAGATACCATCACCATTGTGTTATCTGATGTGACCTAGCTTAGATACCATCACCATTGTGTTATTTGATGTGACCTAGCTTAGATACCATCACCATTGTGTTATCTGATGTGACCTAGCTTAGATACCATCACCATTGTGTTATTTGATGTGACCTAGCTTAGATACCATCACCATTGTGTTATCTGATGTGACCTAGCTTAGATACCATCACCATTGTGTTATTTGATGTGACCTAGCTTAGATACCATCACCATTGTGTTATCTGATGTGACCTAGCTTAGATACCATCACCATTGTGTTATTTGATGTGACCTAGCTTAGATACCATCACCATTGTGTTATCTGATGTGACCTAGCTTAGATACCATCACCATTGTGTTATTTGATGTGACCTAGCTTAGATACCATCACCATTGTGTTATCTGATGTGACCTAGCTTAGATACCATCACCATTGTGTTATTTGATGTGACCTAGCTTAGATACCATCACCATTGTGTTATCTGATGTGACCTAGCTTAGATACCATCACCATTGTGTTATTTGATGTGACCTAGCTTAGATACCATCACCATTGTGTTATCTGATGTGACCTAGCTTAGATACCATCACCATTGTGTTATTTGATGTGACCTAGCTTAGATACCATCACCATTGTGTTATCTGATGTGACCTAGCTTAGATACCGTCACCATTGTGTTATTTGATGTGACCTAGTTTAGATACCATCACCATTGTGTTATCTGATGAGACCTAGCTTAGATACCATCACCATTGTTTTATTTGATGTGACCTAGCTTAGATACAATCACCAGTTTTATTTGATGTGACCTAGCTTAGATACCATCACCATTGTGTTATTTGATGAAACCTAGCTTAGATATCATCACCATTGTGTTATTTGATGTGACCTAGCTTAGATACCATCACCATTGTGTTTATTTTCTATAAATTCACATCCCTTGCAGTCATTGTTTTGCAGACAAACACTGATATGTGTTACTCTGGATGAGTGGTAGAAAAGGATACCAGTTTTAATGTAGGAGAACTTCAGTTTGGTGGAGAGGATGACCATGTTATCAATGACACAGGCGATGAGTCCCGTCAGGATTCCGATTAGTCCGAACACCAACCATCGCACCACCTCCTTCTTAATGTAGGCCTGCAACACACAAAACTTCCTATTTACCTTCAGACAAAACACCAACCATCGATTTGATAAGAGATAATCATGTATCAAGCTTACCTAAAGTGATGATATTTCTTAATATTATTTAGATAATGACAATTTTAACCTTTCTTATATATATATCATGGATGCGCACATGTCTTATACTTACTTAGGTGGTATATCTGAATTGAATTTGATAATTAATATTAGATTACACACCTTAAGTTTAATGACATGATAGTTTAACTCAATTATATATACCTTAGAGGATTTCCTTTCCTCTTGCTGAAAGAGCTCGTTTTCACATTGATCATAATCTAAACTCTGAAAAATAGACATAAACATTTTATTTTAATTTGCAAATATAGCAGAAATTGTGATTATAATGGTCCGAGTTAAAAACTTAACATATACTTGCACATTACTCTCAATAAAGGCTGACACAGTATTGCTGTAAATCCATCTCAACAAAAGCAGTATAATGAAGTGCTCAAATTTTATTAACCAATGTAGGTTAGGATCAGATTTTATTAAACATAGTTGAGTGAGGAATGCTAGCTGAAAAGGTATTTTTTTTAAATAAATCCTTTTTTTTTGGCAAAAGAAAAGAAAAGAAAAATATCAAATGGAGTTTCTCAGAGAACAGCATAAACTGATTTATACCACATATACCTAATTAAACTATCAGTTTGGAACATCTTGGTTTGGGATTTAAAAATATCACATTTGCTTACTTCAAATGTTCCAGAAAGTATTTTTTCATCTGAAATATCTTTATCATTGCCTGAATGTTCAGTTTGGTTTTCTAGGTCACTGCTTCCATCATCATCTCTAAAATGTACACTTCCGTAGTTGGAATTCACCTGCAACACAATAAACAAAACAGTTACTGTTGATATAAGACAGAAATGTTTATATTACCTCCATATTTTTTAACATTTATCTTAGGTATAGAGTAGTTTCTGCCTAATTACACATAAGGCTCACTTGACATAAATTTCAAGCATAATACTGAATTATTTGGACAATACATGCATGTATTCAAATAATTTCTAAATAAACTGTATGTCACTTTATCAGTGGGTGAAGCCATTTACTTCATTTCACTTTTATCGAGAGAATGCTATTTCATTATTTATATTAAGAATCTACCAAACATTGTGGTTTCGGAAGATTTCAATTTTTAAATGAGTCTCCTCAAAAATTAACATAGCAAATTAAATTAATCTCTTCAGAAAATCTTGTGAAATAGTAATTACATAGAGATTAAAGTGTTTTTTTTTCCAATGTTGTTTATTTGGTCATAGAATGGACAAAGGAGGATGGCTCATTGCATTCCATGTATCATGTATCTATTTATTTTTACAAAAACAATTTAAAAATTGGTTGTAAAGACTTTTTACCTAAAAAATACTGATTTGTTGCATTGAAATATGGCAAGAAACCATCAAAGATAATGCAAAAAATAAATTACATCAGGGAAAGCAACTATACAGCTTCCCATCATTTTTTGACATGTCCATGGATATAGAAAATAAATTGTGGCAGGGATAGCCTGTCCAAGTATCATGGATAGAGTTATTAATTAAATTATAATGTTTTGAGATAAGTGGATGAATGAAATATTATTAGTGAAGTTTAATATGTAATTATGTCTTGTTTGTTCGGGTTACATGTATTGTTTGTAGTATCTAGTCTTGTTCAGTGTCATTGTCCATGTGTCAGTTGTTCAGTGTCATTGTCCATGTGTCAGTTGTTCAGTGTCCCTCTAAATTAGTATGAGATATTTTGAGTAACCATTATAGTGTACTTTATTAATGTACTGAATAATGTTTAGGCTATATGCTCTGTGAATATTTGGAAATTCAAAATAACTGTATATATTGACATTGCTTCCATCGGGGATCATGGCTTGTCAAACTATATACACAAATGGACATCTACCTTGCCGTTTTTAATTCTCACAGTAAAACGTAATATTGACAAGAAATTATTACATAACCAAACGGGACACATGCATACTTTGAACAATTGAAGCGGAACGTCATCTCTTGTGTATTTTGCCGATTTCTTAAGCTTCCTGTCTTTCGTAAACATTTTCCCATAACCCTCCTTAAAAAAATTGGCGGTGTATAAAGCAACCACACAATGGTTCTCAGACAAAAAATAACCAAGATCCAAGGAATGAATGAACGAAGTTATTGAAAGGAAACAGGAAATTATTATGTTGAAAATGAAACCGGAAATTATAGGCTATTAATACATATTCTACACTTTCTTTCCCGATCCGTTTCGGAAACTTTTCAAAATTTACAAGTTATGTTTTGCATTAAATCGGTATTGAAGATAAAGAAAAGGCACAATAACACACCGAATTAGGGCGATTAGTGCGACGGCTGGTTCCAGCGACATCATTTGTCGCCATCTTCGAGAATAAGTCATGTGCTTTTTTGTTGACATGAATCTGTGTCTTTCTATCGCTTATCAGATACGTGAGATTGTTTTCTACCAAAAGCGTCTAATACACAATGACTACTACCCATGCGCGAATTCGGCAATAGTTATGGCGGACGAAGAAGATCCGGTCGAACATGAGGTGATTATGAGTGTCACATATTGCACCATACTACTTAAAAACAGCAACAAAAACATGTCGAATCGTTGATTTTTATATTCACATCATGCTCAAATCAAAATCAATAAAAAAAAACCTACGTACTACCAGAGCCGCGTAAGCCCATATCTCGTTTAGATTTGTTGTTGGATTGTTTACATTTGCCCGGCCGGACCCGTTCCAATAGTTCCTCTGTCTGTTATAGAACTTTGTGTGTTTTTATTCCATTTATTCCCCATTTCAGTTATAAAATTGTTACTCAAATGGGTAACTGTTACCCAAATGCAGGATTATTACCCATATGCGCTGTTGTGCCCAACCTGATTATGGAAGTTACAAGTTTCTGAGCCTCTAAGACTAAGGTGAAAATTGCAGAGTAAGGGAATTAGAGCAGAATAAACAGCTGCGTGCCTCACGTTGGTTACCAACACTGTCTAGCTTAAAGTTTACTTTGGCAGTTACTCTACAGTGACAGCTTAAACAGGTACTAGAGCAACAGCAAATATGGATATCGCTAGATTTGGCTATATAGTCAAATATGACTTTATATATATCGGGCGAATGTAAACAAACACGCCAGTACTGGTTGTATAATCTCGTGCACATCGATTGAAGTGTTGACGAACAAGAGAGTCGGTAAAATGAAAGATTTTTACATAAAAACTCAATTTCCAGTGACTTTGTTGAATGTCACCGTTGCAATTCTTGGTACTTGCATGCTTTTATCCTCTTCATCTAATTGTCAGACAGGAATATTAACGATTTCTGTACCGAAACGTGAAATATTTAACTCCCTCTCGACACATGAACAACTCTCAGTGCATGTTATCATTCTGACTTGGAAGCATCTTCTGAAAGGATGGGCTGAATCTGCATCATCGGGATGCTTATCCTTGGTAACACAAACTAAGCATATGTAATAGACACGCTATGATGTAAACTGACAGGGGGAAAAACGCAACAATGCAATTCAAACAAATGAATGAAAATGTGAGTTTTAAGGTGAAACACTTTAATTTCATCAGCTAACCTGTTGGTCAACGCTTCAATCGATATGCACGAGATAATTACAACCAGTACAACTAGTACAACCAACCGTACCTAACTATCTCACATCAAAAATAACATTTCTAGTTGACAAAGTAACTGTCATGCTTGAGTAAACAAATTACAGTCATGTTGGCTGGTAATCTTACTTGTGAATCTATACTTTTGGTTTCCTGACATATATACATATATATATACGTAAGATTCAAGGTGATCGCTCAGGAAATGATCTCGCCATATTTGCTGTGTCAAATATATCTTTTTCAGTCAGTTGAATAATGGGTGGCGATCAGGAGGGATGGGTATGCTACTACAAGTTAGCTTTAGCTGTACATGTACCATGAAATAATTTGAAAACAAGTATGCTGAAAAGTAATCACCATGCATGATCACCTTGATTAAATTTCAAGAAGTAATTTTGATTGAAAAAGCCAAGAAAGTTAAGGTTGTTGAAAGTAATCATGAAAGACAACAATACTGGTATAGACAATTATCGGTAAATATAAAAAGAAAGAAAAAAATAATATCCAATAACAATGCTTTATTTACTGAAAAATGTTTGTTTCCTTTTAGGTCAATGTGTATTTATCCAAGACCTTGGCAGACAAGCTGTACCTATTCCAGTACCCAGTGCGCCCCGCCCACATGACATATGATGATGCCCCCCACATCAATACCAAGATCAAACCTGATCAAAAGAAGGTGGAAATAGAACTGGGTCTCAACACCAGGGGAGACAACTACGCTCGTAGTAAGGGGGAGCAAATTGCCATCAACGTTGATGGGGGTGGTGACCAGCCAGGCTACTATAGCAGGTCTCTTTCATGCACTAACTGATTTAAAAAAAAAAAATCAACACTAGCATAAATGTAACAAACTCTTCTAGAAAGATTAGATTTACTTGCCAAATGATAAATATTTTCACGATGTGAGAGGAACTGTATGGCAAAAATGTCTAAAATGTACTAAAAGTGAAATTAAATTCTGTAGACAGTTCTCAAGTAAGTAAATCTTTGGTGACTATGTGTTTTGCAGTGGGATGATGGACAAACAGGTGTTCAGCAGCATGGCCTGTTCTGAAACAGCAGGCAGGTATGCAGTTGGAGTATGGAAAGATGGTAAGTTATACAAATAAAAAACGTAACTGTAGAAACTTTTGCTCAAAGTATTTGAAGTGATCTGTATGTGATTCATGGTGTTTTTCGCAGAGGAACTTTTATTTTGAAACTGTGAAGAAGTGAGTGTCATGTTAATATCATGTTTCTGTATAATTTCTGACATTTTTTACAGGTGAGGTACACTTGACACCCCTTCATGCCGTCGTCCAACTGAGACCAAACTTTAACTACCTCGATAGTGCAGACAGTCGGTTGAAAGTGGAGGTTGGAGCTGGCGATACTGGAGGTAGTATAGCCATGGCTCATCACTCAAGAAATTATATTTAAACAGTTGGTGGCACAGTTCATACACGTTTTCAACACCAACATAAAAGTCTGTTTAATCATACAACTGTTTGTTGATTGAACATATTTTGCTAGACTAGAATGAAACCAAAACCTCCGTACAGTAGTTTTATGTAACCCTTTGTTAAATTGTTAGCTTGCCAGTTATTTTAGGTAACAGCAGTCAAGTTACGATGTCATTGTCATCCTTCAAAGAGGAGTCATAACTCTTTTCTATGTATCTTTCATGCACTATTTACCAATAACATAGCATGATGTATTTCGTAAAAAATATTATTTCATTTCTCTCTGTTCTGTCTTGTTTCTATCACAAACCTAGATATATATCTTTAAGCCGAACTTTAAGTTCTTGGAGAAATGCTGGATTAACATATTTTCATTAAAATGGGTGCAGCAGATCAGGACTTGCATTTATTTCTTTAAGTTTGTAAATGACCACTCGATCATGGGACATCTGTTTGTCAAATATATTATTATTACAATTATCATGTATTTTGAGCCTAGAGAAAATTTCCAGACTAGAGATAAGAAATGTAAGCATCTTGTCTTCAATAATACTCTTCATGATCTAGAACATAAGTTCACAGTACAGTTACTGTTTTGAGTTTCTGAAGTATGATTGAAAATTATGGATCGACGATAAGTACATGAACTGCTACCACACTGAAGAAAACTTTGTAAACAATTACTTGATGTTTACCTTGTTTTAGGAGGGGAATCTTCTCAGGATGAAGCAGAAGAAGAGGCTAAACCAGTCACCATGAAATTTGCTCGCCAAGAAACAGATGAAGCTAAAGCAAGACGACTGGCATCATATGCTTACTTACAGAAAAAACAGGAGGAGGAACCTTGGCGTCCACTTCAGTTTTATGATATCAATGTATGTTAATGTAAAGATTCTGTCTCCACAAAGTGACATGATTTGCTTATACACTTAAGCTGGATTTAAAACCAATTGAGGCCGTTTTAACAATTATTGCTGAATATAATAAGACGTGATGTTTTCTGGGTAGTATGCTTTTCAAAACAGTATGTACATGTAGAATGATATGACAATTCATTAAATATGTGACATGTAATTTTATTAGTGCTGTTCAATCTTTTCTCAGAAACTAAAATTTAGATACCCAGAAGAATATTAATGTAAACACGTTTTTACTCAGAGTGGAGTAGCGGAGTCTGAGCGACTGAAGCTGGTTTCCTCCAAAGGTGATGAAATATCCGAGTTCCAGATCCAGGCCAATGAGTATCTGAGGGCATTAGTGCCTCCCCTTGGGGAGACACAGGAGTAAGTCTCACCTCCTCAAAGTCTAGGCACTTTACAGTAACTTTGTAAAAGCTGCTTTCAAGTTAGCTCTTAGGCCTACTCTTTCTCCTATTTTAGTCCTCCCTGTTCATTCTGGGCCGACTTAAAGTAGTGTGAGTGATAAAATGTGGAAGTAGGGGAGGCTCTGACTTCATCTCCAGTTTGTTAGCCCTGTTTACTTTCGGTGTAAAGTATTGTTAATGTCAAGAAATGGAATTTTTTTAAGTGTCAAAATATTATGATGCTGCACATTGTTATTGTACCAGGTAACACCAAAAATAAGTAGGGAAAGTAAGGAAATCGGAGAGAAGAGTTGATCTGTCATATATATGTATATGGAAAACTGGAAGTAAGAAGGACTAAAAACTGCTAATCTGGAGATAGAAACTTATCATGAAGCCATCTTTAGTTGTTGTTAACTTGAAAGGCAGAAACTTAAAATATTTTTTTACAGTAACTGTAGTTTTACAGCTTCTTGTGAAATGTCATAGCACAAAACAATAGTTAGAGGATATTCTTTATTTTATAGTAAATACCACTAAAATTTCATCAAGTGTGGTAAATATTTCAATAACTTTCATAAACAGGAAGCTTGCTTTAACAATATGGAAAGCATTTGTCTCATGAGTTGAAATGCAATTCTCTGATTTGTTAGTGTAAAATGAAAACTAACTAAATTTTCACTGTTTAACAATATATTTTTCTGTTAGAAATGATGTCTATTCCTTCTTTGCCTTAATAGAGAGAAGCCTGCGATGCCGAGTAATGTTTTGTCTCTGACTCAGCTAAGGACCATGCCACTCCCTGATCAGATCAAGGCCCTCCTCACTAATGGTAAGTACTGAGTAATAAGAACGACCGTGTATGTCCCTGATCTGATCAAGGCCCTCATCACTAATGGTAAGTACTGAGTAATAAGAAGGACCATGTATGTCCCTGATCTGATCAAGGACCTCCTCACTAATGGTAAGTACTGAGTAATAAGAACGACCATGTATGTACCTGATCTGATCAAGGCCCTCCTCACTAATGGTAAGTACTGAGTAAAAGGAAGGAACAAGTCTGTCTCTGATCAGATCAAGGCTCTCCTCACTAATGGTAAGTACTGAGTAAAAGGAAGGACCAAGTCTGTCTCTGATCAGATCAAGGCCCTCCTCACTAATGGTTAGTACTGAGTAATAAGAATGACCATGTATGTCCCTGATCTGATCAAGGCCCTCCTCACTAATGGTGAGTACTGAGTAATAAGAACGACCATGTATGTCCCTGATCTGATCAAGGCCCTCCTCACTAATGGTAAGTACTGAGTAAAAAGAAGGACCAAGTCTGTCCCTGATCAGATCAAGGCCCTCCTCACTAATGGTAAGTACTGAGTGATAAGAATGACCAGGTATGTCCCTAACCAGGTCAAGGCCCTTGGCGCTCCTCACTAGTAGTAAGTACTGAGTAATAAGAAGGACCATGTATGTCCCTGACCAGATGAAGTGGTTTGGGTTTTATTATGATATTAGTGTTTGCTCAATGTAATATTGTAAAGTAACTCCATTCTAGCATCTTACACAAATGTAACTACTAAACCTCTATTTGGTAGAGAGTATTTGAATTTGAAAATTAAATTTATTTTGAAATTATCGTAATTTGATTTGAAAATGCTACCAATTACTGTTCTTTTATAGCATTTAATGATGATAATTTCTTCAATGGGATTTTGTTTTGCTTTAACAAAACCATCTTATACAGTAGTATAAATAGTTTCTAGGATCTCTTTTATAAATTTAAATTGTGTATCCAGTAATTATTATCCATTTGCTTACAGCGAAAGTGATGAGGTTCAGTCAGCTGATGGCACTACTACCTCAGGGCACAGAAAGCATGGGTGCCCTCCGCTCACTTCAGCAAGTGGCCGTCCTTGTCCAGGGCTGCTGGGTTGTGAAAAGGTCAGAGGTCATGGTTTTTATCTACAAAATACTGCAATGGTTTTTGACACTTTTGTTAATCATTTTTTTCCTCTTCTATCAAATAAACACAATTTACACATTAAATTTAAAAAGGTAATAGAATATTATAAAACTATAATAAGTGCAAGAAAAAGAAGATTGATCTGTGTTATATAGCAAATTTAAAAAAGCAATCTCAAGTAAAAATGTATTAAAGTGATTTTCTTCAACATCCCAGAGTCCAAGTGCTAGATATAGCTCATGAATTGCTCGTTTTGTACTTTACACGATTTGTGATACATGTATATGAATGCTTTATAGAGGATTATTTGTCTGTTTGTTGTGGATAGTGAGGTTCTGTACCCCAAGGAGGCCACCAGTCCTCACAGTGGTGTGGCAGCCGACCATCTGTGTCGGGGACGTGACTATGTGGTCAGTATTCACTGGATGAAAGTGTAATTTTGGAGATACAATATGTTGCATCTTTATAAAAAAACATGTTCTTCTTATAAGTTGGCATCCATTATTGAACAGTTTTTAAAGCTTCAAAATGATGATGTTTTCACTTTTTATAATAAATGTATTCATGCAAATTGTAAAGTTAATAACATAAATGTTTTTTGTTGACAGATGTGGAGATTCACACAGTCTAGTCACGTAACCCGCAAAGACATAGCATCCATTGTCAAGGTTTGTAGTCATGTTTTTTAACAAATTTTGCACAAAAGACACACTTTGATGTTTGTAAGTCTAAACATATTTAAACACGCTGTAATACATGTAAGTTCATACATATTGCTATACTGGTGTTATGTTTGCAAATGTTAAAATTACCAAATGTGAAAATTACCACTTTTACAAAACGTAATGCTATGTGTTACTTGCAGCTGCCAGCAGAGGATGTAAAGGACATCTTAGAGCAGATGTCTAGGATTAGGGCCAACTGTGGCTGGGAGTTTCTCTTTGCTCATGATTCTGACTTCTGTAACAGGTAAATATTCTTGTGAATATAATTGTGTGGTGGGTGTCTACACAACTCTGGTATTGCACTAGCCAGAACACTGTCATGGGTAGTGAAACTAGGTCAATTCTGGTCATGAATTATCTCTGTGTCTTTGTTATTATTGTTGTTGTGTTTCATGAACCACACCGAAATTAGCAAACAAAATGCCAATTTCATTTTAAGTAACAAACATTTATTATGTGAAATATAAATCAGAACATGTAAATAATAAAAAAAACAAAATTACAAGCTATTGTTGTAATGAGCTTTCCGCAATAGTTAACCAAACATAAGAAGATGATTTTGTAAATAGTACTGCCAGAAGACGTATGATGCTACAAAAAGTCCCATGTAATTATAATAAATATTGACCAATCATAATAATGTTTTATTAATTAATGAAAAGGGAGTAATGAGCCACATGATAAGACTTGGTCATGTCTTATGATCCGAGATCGATGAACATGATTTTGTGTGACTTCTGATAAAAGGTTGATAACAGTAAAAGGAATAGGGGAGTTAAGGGTAATTTCTTGCCTTATCGGGGATTTATAATTTGTTATATTCATCATCTGGAATTAATGAAGTACGCAAATATGAAATTTCAAATTCATTTGACGACTGGTTTAGGAGATATGGCATTATAAAGAGATACATAAATCTGCATTTTCATAATAAAACGCATGAATATCGTCTGTTGTGCGCTATTTGGTTGAAACTTGACCATTTTGAAGGAAATTAACAAAACACTCTTAATTTTTTGAAAGCCTCCACACGCAACAAACAAATAAATATTTGAAATGCTTAAACATTGTCATACCAGAGTTCAATCGTAAAAAGGAATTTCTGTTTGTCACATGCAGAGGCTTTTATTTCTGCATGCTCACTGTCCAAAAACACCATATTTTGGCTATTTCTGCATAGCAACACAATTTTGTTGCTATGGTAGGGCATCTACGCATGCGCATTGGAAAAAATCTGCACCAAGAAAGGTTGCCCAAATTAACCAATATGATATTTATAAAAATGACCCATAACGCCCTATGTCCTTTAGCCTTGATTATGATCACATGATATCTATTTCTGGAACTAGTCAGGTGACATCATCCATAGTAAAACTATCCCAGACATGTGTAGTAGTAGTTGAACACAAAATAATTAACAGCATGGTTATGGTCAAGGCAATGCTCTCAAGACACAATTTACTGACTTAATCTTTATAGATAAACACAATATACTGACTTAATCTTTATAAAAACAATATACTGACTTAATCTTTATAGATAGACACAATATACTGACTTAATCATTATAGATAAACACAATATACTGACTTAGTCATTATAGATAAACACAAGATACTGACTTAATCTTTATAAACACATTATATTGACTTAATCTTTATAGATAAACACAATATACTGACGTAATCTTTATAAACACAATGTACTGAATTAATCTTGATAGATAAACACAATATACTAACTTAATCTTTATAGATAAACACAATATTCTGACTTAATCTTTATAGATAAACACAATTTACTGACTTAATCTTTATAGACAAACACAATATACTGACTTAATCTTATAAAAACAATATATTGACTTAATCTTTATAGATAAACACAATAGGCTGAGTTAAATTTTTATAGATAAACACAATATACTGACTTAACCTTTATAAACACAATATATTGACTTAATCTTTATAGATAAAAACAATATACTGACTTAATCTTTATAGATAAACACAATATACTGACTTAAATCTTTATAGATAAACACAATATAATTACTTAATCTTTATAGGTAAAAACAATAATACATGTACATGTTATTGAATTAACAAGTAAGTCTGCTATCATTGTAATCACAGTACAAGTCACTGCTAACCTGCCTAGCTGGTTATTTCAACTTATGCAAATTCTGACTTCATTTGGTGACCAAAACACGAAATGATATTCTACATTATATTGGTTGTTTAAATCAAGTGGAAGCAAAAATTAAACAGTACCTTATCCTAAAAGATTTATAACAAAAACAATGATTTGGAATTAATATTTTCAAATCCCACATCATTGCAATTTGTTTACGATTCTTACTTTAATGTATCAAAGGTAACTGTTATTGCAAATACCATTAATGAATGGCAATAAAAGTGGAAACATTCCAAGAAAAATTTAACTGACAAATAAATAGTTGATTATTAATTGATCAGCTTTTCTGTTTGTCTGTGTTGAATGCATTAAGTGCATGTTGATGTTGTTACATTGTTTTTTGTCTCCAGCTGTGTCAATACTAAAACAGATCTTTTTGTCTTAAGGTATCCGGAAATTGTACTCAGACAGAAGATGTTGTGGGATGCAAAATATCAGGGCCTGTGTAATCAACTCAAAATTCCTAAGGAACACGAAAAGAAATTTAAAGACAGAGGTAGGAACTATAAATTCCTAATAAGTCGATTTTGTAATTCAGTCCAAACAGCTACCCTTTTTTCTTCTTCAAGGAATTATATAGTCAGACTTAAACAGTTTGCCTTTTCTCATTTTCAATGAATTGAAAGTATGAAAATTTTGCTTAACACAATTCAACAAAAAGTTAAAGCTCCAAATAACTTCAATAAACCATTGTTTCAAATAACTTAACAAAGCCAGTGATCCAGATAATTTCAGCAAACATGTGCTTCAGATAACAACAGTAAACCGTGCTGCCACTGATCGCTCCAATAAATAACTACTCCAGAAAAATTCAGTAAATGTAAACGTTCCAGATCACGTTCCAGATCACGTAGATAATCAGTGCTCCAGCTCCAATTAACTTTAACAAACCAGTGCTCCAGAAATTTTAATAAACCAGAGCTTCATATTAATTGAATAAACCAGTACTATAGATAACTTTACTAAAGCTCTAGATAAATGCAGTAAACTGTACTAGTAAAATAGTAAATAACAGCACCCCAGATCATTACCTCCCCCCCCCCTTATTTGCAAGTGGATGGGTTGAAACTTACTTTGATATGTGAAGTGTTGAAAGAAGCTGGAAACTCGGTACTAGAAGATTTCATATAAGAGCTTGTGAATTTTTTTCAGCATTTACTATGAAACTATAGGGTGGGGTAGTACTATTTGTCAAGATCTGCCTGTAGGCTTATATTACTTACTCAGAGACTGAGGGTTATAATGCAAGTTATTTGTTAAAAATAAACTTTATTATTTTACAACAATTATGAAACAAGTTTTATCATCTCACATTGATCACACTTGTTGGCCCAGATAGTGGCAAGCAGGGGGTTTTGATGTGGGAGGAAACCGCACAACCTCAAGAAAATATGATGAGGGATTGCTTGTTATCTGTTATGTAGTTTAGTTAAAGTCCTTAATCTTCTGTATGCAATCTGTATGTATCTGGAGATGAGTGACTAATAGGAAACATAGGATAGTGCTTATGTTTTTTTCCATTTCAACAGATTTTATTGACGGATGTAAAAGTCAAATTGATAGCATAACAGGCAAGCCTATATAAATTCTTTCCATGAGTGGCACTAATTTAATCGAATATGTGTACAAAAATGGGTGACTAATAGGAAACACATTATAATGCTAAACACATAATAATGCTTATCAATGAAGAGAATATTTTGTTTTGTCCTATTTCAGATCCTGGGGTATCTGCAGGAGAGAAGGTTGTGAGGCGACGGCGCAGCTCATCCTCTCGTAGTAATCGTAAACGAACACTCAGTGGTCGATCTGTGTCTGACCACAGTGACGTGGAGATGGATGTTTCCCTGAAGTCAGATATAGACAATAGTACAGAGGACGAGGAGGTTCCTAAGCATGAGAGAATGGACACACAGTCAGCTTTAAATGGGGAGAGGTTGTCAGACGGTGCTAAGGCGACAAGCTGTGATATTTCCTCCGTTTCTTTGGAGTTGAGAGCAGAACTTGTTAATTTTGTTCAAGAAAAGTTGTACAGTAGATTTGTATTAACTGCAAGTGAACTTAAACGTCTGTTCTCTATAAAACAGTTACAATGTCCATCTGGCCACGTGTTCTTGTCAGGGGTCACAGACAGTATTCTAGAGGAAACTGTCAAAGAAGTGGGAGGAGTGAAGTTATCTAATCAGGTATTGCTAAATATACTTAGTCATCCTACTGCCCTATCTGAAGTCAACCTACTACCCTATCTAAAGTCAATTTGTGTTGTGCAGATTGCAATATTTTGCCCAAAATTATCTTCAATGATTTAAATATTGGTGATGGTATCCTGGTAGGATGTTCAAAATGCCTTTCGTCTATGGTCCATGGTCTGTTCTTAAAGAGTTTGTGTTATTGTTATTTCTCAAAATGTCCCAGACAGATCTTTAAAACAAGGTGTATCGCTCACCTGAATATGTTTAAAATAATTGGTATGAAGTAAAGATATAGCACTCCATGGTCGGTGCTGTAAGTACATATGAAATTTCAGAAAGATCCATCCAGTACTTGAGATATAACAAATTTCAAACAGAGCCCTACCCCTATGCCCCTAGGGGGGGTCATACCCACCGTTTATACAAAATTGAGTCCCCTTGGCCAAAGGATGCTCCAGACAAATTAAGGATAAAATCCCTTAATCACGATGGTCGAAGAAGGATTTTAAAGGTTTTACCTCTATTTCTCCTATTGGACCCCGCCCTTCTGCCCCCTGGGAGACCATACCCTCTGCTTATACAAAATTGAGTCCCCTTGGCCCAAGGATGCTCCAGACTAAATAAGGATAAAATCCTTAATCCCTTTGGTAGAAGAAGGATTTTAAAGGTTTTACCTCTATTTCCCCTATAGGGCCCAACCCCTCAGGTCCCAGGGGGGCCACACCCACTGTTTATACAAAATTGGTTCCCCTTTACCCAAGGATGCTTCACACCATATATGGACCAAATCTTTTCATTCCTACAGAAGAAGAAGGATTTTAAAGAATAATTTGCTATGTTTCCCCTATTGGGCCCCGCCCCTCAGGCCCCTGGGGGGTCAGACCCATGGTTTATACAAAATTGGTTACCCTTCACCAAAGGATGCTTCAGACTAAATATGGAATAAATTCTTTCATTCCTACAGAAGAAGAAGGATTGTTAAGAATTTGCTATATTTCTCATATTGGGCCCCGCCCCTCAGCCCCCAAGGGGGCCAGAGCCACCGTTTATACAAAATTGGTTTCCCTTTACCCAAGGATGCTCAACACCAAATCCTGTAATTCCTACAGAAGTAGAAGGATTTTAAAGAATAATTTGCTATGTTTCCCCTATTGGGCCCCGCCCCTCAGGCCCCTGTGGGGTCAGACCCATGGTTTATACAAAATTGGTTACCCTTCACCAAAGGATGCTTCAGACTAAATATGGAATAAATCCTTTTATTCCTACAGAAGAAGAAGGATTTTTAAGAATTTGCTATATTTCTCATATTGGGCCCCGCCCCTCAGCCCCCAAGGGGGCCAGAGCCACCGTTTATACAAAATTGGTGTCCCTTAACCCAAGGATGCTCAACACCAAAAGAAGTAGAAGGATTTTAAAGAATAATTTGCTATGTTCCCCTATTGGGCCCCGCCCCTCAGGCCCTTGGGGGCCAAACCCACTGTTTATACAAAACTGAGTCCCCTTGGCCCAAGGATGCTCCAGACTTAATAAGGGTATAAATTCCTTAATCACGATGGTCGAAGAAGGATTTTAAAGGTTTTACCTCTATTTCTCCTATTGGACCCTGCCCTTTGCCCCAAGGGGGGCCACACCCTCCATTTATACAAAACTGAGTCCCCTTGGCCCAAGGATGCTCCAGACTTAATAAGGATAAAATTCCTTAATCCCTAGGGTAGGAGAAGGATTTTGAAGGTTTTACCTCTATTTCCCCTATTCGGCCCCAGCCCTTTGCCCCCAGGGGGGGCCACACCCACCATTTATACAAAATTGAGTCCCCTTGGCCCAAGGATGCTCCAGACTAAATTAGGATAAAATCCCTTAATCCCTACGGAAGGAGAAGGATTTTGAAGGTTTTACCTCTATTTCCCCTATTCGGCCCCAGCCCTTTGCCCCCAGGGGGGCCACACCCACCATTTATACAAAATTGAGTCCCCTTGGCCCAAGGATGCTCCAGACTAAATTAGGATAAAATCCCTTAATCCCTACGGAAGGAGAAGGATTTTGAAGGTTTTACCTCTATTTCCCCTATTCGGCCCC